TGTTACCATCTCTTTTTAAAAATTTATTTATTTGAATCCTAGAGGAAAACACAGGCAGCACCGTTTTTGAACTTGGTCACAGCAACTTCTTGCAAGATACATCCATGAAGGCAAGAGAAACAAAAGCAAAAATGAATTATTGGGGCTTAATCAATATAAAAAGCTTCTGCACAGCAAAAGAAACAGTCAATAAGACTAAAAGACAACCTACAGAATGGGAGAAGATATTTGCAAATGACATATCAGATAAAAGGCTAGTATCCAAGATCTATAAAGAACTTATTAAACTCAACACCCCCCCCAAAAAATAAAAATAAACTCAACACCCAAGAAACAAACAATCCAATCATGAAATGGGCAGAAGACACGAACAGAAATTTCACCAAAGAAGACATAGACATGACTAACAAGCACATGAGAAAATGCTCCACATCACCTGCCATCAGGGAAATACCAATCAAAACCACAATGAGATACCACCTCATACCAGTGAGAATGGGGAAAATTAACAGGGCAGGAAACAACAAATGTTGGAGAGGATGTGGAGAAAGGGGAACCCTCTTGCACTGTTGGTGGGAATGAGAACTGGTGCAGTCACTCTGGAAAACTGTGGAGGTTCCTCAAACAGTTAAAAAAAGAGCTACCCTATGACCCAGCAATTGCACTGCTGGGGATTTACCCCAAAGATACAGATGCAGTGAAAAACCAAGACACCTGCACCCTGATGTTTATCGCAGTAATGTCCACAATAGCCAAACTGTGGAAGGAGCCTCGGTGTCCATCGAAAGATGAATGGATAAGATGTGATCTATGTATACAATGGAATATTCCTCAGCCATTAGAAACGACAAATACCCACCATTTGCTTCGAGGTGGATGGACCTGGAGGGTATTATGCTGAGTGAAGTAAGTCAATCGGAAAAGGACAAACATGATATGGTCTCATTCATTTGGGGAATATAAAAATTAGCGAAAGGGAATAAAGGGAAAGGAGAGAAAATCAGTGAAAATATCAGTGAGGGTGACAAAACATGAGAGACTCCTAACTCTGGGAAATGAACAAGGGGTAGTGGAAGGGGAGGTGGACAGGAGGGTTGGGGTGACTGGGTGATGAGCCCTGAGGGGGGCACTTGGCGGGATGAGCACTGGGTGTTATGCTATATGTTGGCAAATTGAATTCCAATTAAAACATTAAAAAATTTTATTTATTTGAGAGAGAGCCCCTGAAGGGGGAACCAGAGGGAGAGGGAGAAGCAGATTCCCTTTCTGAGCAGTGGGGCTTGACTCTGGGATCATAACTTGAGCCAAAGGCTGACCCCACTGAACCAATCAAGTGCCCCTAAATGTATCATCTTAATGTTAGATAATAATAGGAAAAACTGGGGGCAGGGTATATAAGAAATCTCTGTAATATCCTCTCAGGTTTTTTCTCCCTGCAAATCTTGTACTGTTCCAAAGTTAAATTTTACTTACAAGATAAAAAAAGATCTGTTTTAGACATACAGGAGAAGAGAGTGTTTAAAAGGATTTAGAGCAAATCTGCTGCAGATTGAGTGCATTTCTTACAGAGCTTGGCTCCCACAATTAACACGAGGGTGACTTACAGGGCCAATGCCACTGATATCTATGGAGATTTCCTTGTCACATTCAACATACAGTTAAACAAAATCATAATCATGTGAATGGTAAAGTACACTGCAAACATTCCCAGAGCTACTCGCAAAGGAAGTTGGATTCAGCCCTTTGTGGATGTGAGTTTAAAAGAGGCTGTGCAAAGCTGAAAGAATCTACACCAGAACTGCGTTGGTGCATCTTCAGACTCAAGGCCTGATGCGCTTCCAATTCCGCCATCTACAAGTACATGGTTTCAGCGGGAATCCAAATTCAAATAAAGCAGGTGTAGTCGCTGCTTAACCTTCCCCCCTCATTCTTTCCCTTGTATTTCAAACTCAAACACGCTAAAAAAAAAAAAAAAATCCATTGCTGCCAGCGAAATGCCCACACTCTGGATTGGAGTGTGTTTCTAAGCTCAGCGCTGCTCCTATGGCTGGTGCAGCACATGCAGCACCAGGTCTACTGTTCCAGATGCTCCAGATGCGCGACCGCTGGGCCGCCGGATGCTGCAACAGGACACTCTGAGTCCGGTAGTCTTTGGCAAAACAAGAGGAGAGCCGCTCCGGTGAGGAGCCCCCTCTCAAACCACTTACCTTCTTTCTCCAAGGGTCTGGACACCTGCGGCAGTGACGCGGAGCTTGGTCACTGTCTACCCTCGCTCCTGCCCTGTCTACCTATCCTACCTGTCCACTGAGACCTCGCCAACTACTCTTCTTCGGTCCCTGCCTTCACTGCCTCTTCCCTCCTCCCCCGGCTTCACCTTTGTCCCGCCTGGAGCCTGGTGCTCTCCCTACTCCACTCCTCCCCTGCAGACCCTCCTGAGCTCCCTCCAGATCCCAGCACTCTCCTTCCTGTGTGGCAATAACAGAACTTGTGCAGGCACCTGTCCTCCCCGCCCCCTTTTCTGCCTGAAGGCTTGGAATTTTGTCCAAAATCGGCATCTAGGTTAACAGTTGCACCAGGTTTTGCCTCCAGGTGGGAAGCGGCGCCTTGGCGCCCTGAGGATGGATGAAATCGCGGGCGTGTGCAGGCGCGGCTGTGCTCCCTGGCCCCCTTCTCCCCGGCCACCCCCCCCCCACCTCTTCGTTCTGGCAGCTCGGTCTGCAGGGGACAGTGTAGGGAGCCGGGCGTCCACATTGGTCTGCTCTCCTCGGTGCCCCCCGCCCACGCGCAGACACAGCGGCCAGTGGTCCCCGGAGCCGGTTCTCCAGAGCCTACCAGGAGCCTGAGACGCTCACCTGCCACTCGTGCGCGCCGAGGATTGGGAACAGTGACCGCCGGTCCTAAGCCCCACCGGGGTCCGTGTGCGTTCCCGGGGCTCCCGGGGCGCGTCTTTGTATCCACTCTTCCTTCCACCCCTGCACCTCCTTTGGCTTTTCTGGCAGTTTCCTGGGCAGAGAAGGACGTTGTTCAACAAGGAGGATGTGAAGACCTGACAAAAAGGCCCAACCCTCGCGGTGGCCTGGAGCGGGCCGAGCAGTCCGTTGGCAAAAAGCAGCCTTCCATTGAGGGAGGGGAGGAGGGGTCAGAATGCATTTGTCCTCCTGTCACAACTGACACTGGAGTCAGTCCCAGAGATTTCAAAGACGGAAAAACCTGCCCTCGGGCAGCCCGGGTGGCTCAGCGGTTTAGCGTCGCCTTCGGATCAGGGCGTGATCCTGGAGACCCATCTCGGACTCCTTGCGTGGAGCCTGCTTCTCCCTCTGCCTGTGTCTGTGCCTCTCTCTCTGTGTCTCTCATGAATAAATGAATAAAATCTTAAAAAAAAAAACCTGCCCTCATCTTCAGATGAGGCTGTAAATACACGCCATGGGGAGCCCTGCTGCTAGCCACCTGAGGGGCTGTAGCTCAGTGGTAGAGTGCATGTTTAGCAGGCACGAGTCCTTGGATTCGGTCCACCGCCCCTGACCGGGGTGGAGGGGGTGACCCAGTCTCACCCTTTTCCCTAGGGTGCCATCAGAGGCCACCCGGATGCCTGGCACCATTCAGAAGCAGCCAGTTCTGCTTTGCTGCTAATTTTCATTATTATTAAGAAGTGGGGGAGAGAAAAGACAGAAATGGGGGAAGGAGACCCTTGGGAAAATCCCTTTAGATGCTTGCTCCCTAGCCCTTTTGCTCAGCTGAGCCTGTGTTAATACATCCTTCCCGCCTTCAGGTCCCCATTCACCTCTGCACCCCGCACTCCCCCCTAATCTTCATGGGCACCCTAGGTCTGCCCAATCACCAGTCCTGGGGTGCCGCGAGCCCAGCTTTTTCTTGTGAAAAAGTGTTTACTGTCCAAGGGAAAAGCACTTCTGGTGAAACTCGGAAGCTTCCAAAATCCATTGTCAAGAAAGTTTATGTACAGAGGGGGAAGGAGCAGCAAGCTATCTTGAAACGTGGGACAAGAGGTTTTAAGCTCACCTCCCGTGGGTTGAAGAGAACCTTGGGGTCCCTACATCCCAGGTGGAACCGGAGGCGCAGCCCCGCTGCCCAAAGCCCATGTACTGGTGAGGATCCAGAGGTATGGATCCAACGCCACGTGCCCAAGTCCCCCGGGTCCTTCTGGTTCCTCCTGCTCCCCCCCCCCCACCTCCGCCTCAACGCGACGAGGCGCCCTCTCCTGCACACTTCTGGCCTCTCCACAGCACCCACATGCACTGTCTCCTCCTCGCTCAACTGTGCCACAGCTCAGCTCCCTCGGTACCGCAGCTGCATACCCCAGGGAGTGGTTCTCACCCCTGGACAAGCACCTCAACCGGGAGGCATCTAAGTTCCACGCCTGCCCCCTTCTCCCTCCCCCAGCTCCAGCTCCCAGATTAGGCTTTAAAAGTCCATTAGGCACGGGTCTTGGGCTCCCTTGACGCCTGCAGACTGCACCCCACTCCCCACCCCTGCAGAAGCTGGGCCCGGCGCCACCACCTGGGCTCCGAGGCGAGGGTGGGGGGCGCTGGGGGCGTTCTGGGGGCTGGCGGGCGGCCTGCCGGGTGAGCACTGGGGGCGCACTGGAGGCGCACACGAGGCGCGCAGGGAGCGCGCTTGGGGCGCGCTGGGGAGCAGGGGAGACCGGCCCCTGCGCCTTGGACCGCACAGTGCTCTAAAGCTTAGGAAACTTCACAGACCTAGTTTCTCTCTTTTTTTTTTTTTCTTCCCTTTCTTTAGGGATTCTGCCTCATGAGACCTAAAGTGAATGGGTCTGTGGACGGGACTGCAGCTCGGTGTTTCAGGCGGTGTTGAGGCTGACGAGTGCAGCTGTCTTCCTTTTCTCTCTTCTGTGAATGTTCGTGTCTTGGGTGGCACCAAGTCCCATGGAGTAGAAATGGCATAATATTGAAGAGAATACATTGGATTGTATATTATTTTAATAAAGCAGGAGAAACGTGGCTAAGCGCACGAAAAAGTACGGTTGGAGGAGCCGGGGGTTGAACCCGGGACCTCGTACGTGCGAAGCACACGCTCTATCACTGAGCTACACCCCTACCCACTCGAGGTTTCCCCGGATCTCCTATAAAATTTAAATTGTATCTGTGGCTCGCATTAGTTTCTGTTGAAACTAAATGTGCCCAGTTCGACTAGATTTCAGGAAGCACCTTCATCGTGAAAGTGATTTAAGTCAGCAGTGGAGTTTTAGCCTTTTCATGTGAGATATAGGAGTTTAAGTTCAAGTCCTGTTGAAGAATCATGTTTCCTTTTCCTCTCTGTTATTTCCAACTTTTATATGGAAATCAACTGGGGCTTTCTAAAGAGCACGTTGGTGTATGTTGCTCCATTTTTCAAGCCTGCTGTTGACTCGACTGGGTTCTAAAAAGCAGGATGGGCGGGGCGTGGGGGCGGGACAGGTCAAATCCAGGACTGCAACAGATTGAGAAAGCCGTAAATGTATACAGTACAGTGATTTTTTTTACGCTGTCCTGATCTAGGCAGGCAACTTTGGAGGCTCTTTCAAGGATCTGCTAAATAGATGAAACAATGAATTTTTTTTTTTTTTAAATTTATGATAGTCACAGAGAGAGAGAGAGAGAGAGGCAGAGACACAGGCAGAGGGAGAAGCAGGCTCCATGCACCGGGAGCCCGACGTGGGATTCGATCCCGGGTCTCCAGGATCGCGCCCTGGGCCAAAGGCAGACGCTAAACCACTGCGCCACCCAGGGATCCCTGAAACAATGAATTTAACAATGAAAGGCAAGGGAGAAATTTGAGGAACAATGTAGATTGATACAGGATTTGGAATCTTATTGAAGTCTAATACTTAGTATTTAGGAAAGCATGCAGGTTGGATTTTGCAGATGGTGACACCTTTTGCAAAGAATAGTAAATATAGGAGGAGGGGTGAGAATTGTTTGTTGTTGTTGTTATTGGTTTGTTGATTTGTGTATAGGTAGGGCAATAAGAGGGAAATGTATAGTTTGGGTTTAGAAATGACAAAATTTAAATGTCTGTGGATTAGCCTCTTGAGGATGTCTGCCCTAAGCACATTACAATCTGCAGACATCTCTGAACCTGAATTTCAGATATTTTGTGGCTGGGAGGAGAGCGCTCTTTAGAAGTGGATAGAGTAAGGACTTAAAGTTATCCACTAAGACTAGTAGATAAAGAACTTATTATTGGTATTAATGGGAAAAAATGGGATTGGTCCTACATCGATCTCATTTTTTAAAAGTTTATACTCTTTGCTATGGTCTTAAATTTTCCTTAGAACAAAAGTAAAGGTCTCATTTCCTACCATGAGCTTCCTGAGCTTCCAGATAAGATGATTATCTCTTCTTTGACCCTCTTTGTTGATCTATGACTATTTTAATTATATCAGACTACATATCAAACTTCTCAAAATTGAACAACTTTAAACCATCAATTACATTTGCTCACAATTCTCTGGGTCAGAAATTTTGGCTGGGTCCCTTCTGCTGCTGGGAGCCAGTTGGGATTGTTCACTGCTCTTTATTTAGCTGGTAGCAGGGTTGGACTCAAAGGTCTGAGGAGGCTCCACTGTGGTGTATCAGTGCTTCTCTATCTAGTTTCCTGTTCACTTTTCTCTCCATGGTTCTAGGTTGGGCTTTCTCATAGCATGCTGATCCCATTGTAGTCAGACTCCTCACAGAGCAGCTTCTGAGACTGGCTATTGCAAAAGAAGCAAAAGCAGAACCTGCAGATCGTGTAAACTGTCTGTGCAAGGAAACAGCATCACTTCCTCTAGTCTCCAAAGGAAAATCTTTGAGCAGAAACACTGTTCACAGGGGCTGGTTTATTGAAAGAGAGGGTCTTTTGCTTCCACAGCATGCATTCAGTGCAGAGCATCTCGTTTTCGCCATCTTCAGGTACAGTTGAATGGGAAGGAGACAAGGAGATGGTTGACTTCTTAGAAGCCAAGACCTCTCCATTACCTGGATTTACCTGAAAGTGAAGTATTCTGTATTGCCAGAGATGAACATTATTTTGTCTCCAAAATTAAAGCAGATCAATGACGGGATTTTCCTTAGTCATTTTATTCAGGCTCTTAACTGAAGAAACAAAAGCCTGTGTTTGAATTCCTGTATTCTGTTCCTGGTATGTAATAAAGGATCAGGGATAGTTGTTTGTCCAAGGCATTCGGCTTGCCATCTGAAGTGTTTTTCCAGAGACAGTTGAGATCCTGCTCACATCACCCTAATTTCTCTCATTCTCTTGTCTTTAGGATTAGCTATTCTGGCTAAAGAAGTTGCACAGGGGTCTCTCCCTCTCCTTCTCTCCTCCACTCATCCCTTCTCCCTCCCTCTTTCTCTTCCTCTCACTTGGATCTTCCTTTTTTAAGTCCTATTGCAAAATGATGGTCCAGGTGACAAAGTTGGTTGCATTTGGGGCTGTTGAATAAGTCTTTTCTTCTCCTTTCTTTCTTCTGATGTTTCACCAGTCATTTTTACTTTCCATGTGAGCAGAAAAACAAAAAACAGAAAAGTAGACTTGGCATCCCTGAAAGAATGTACCAATGTGGAGCAAAACTGAAAGAAATGCCTCTGGAGGTGCTGGGCATCGAACCCAGGGCCTCATGCCTGCAAAGCATGCGCTCTACCACTGAGCTACACCCCCCAGACAACAACTGCTTGTTTTGTGATATATTAGGAAATGTGGTATCTTCTGTATTCTTTGGCAAGGCCATTTGTGTGTGTGTGTGTGTCAGAAAATTTATTCTGTTAACTGAATTAATTCTACGTTTCTAAATTGGATTGTTTTCCAGAATAGTAAATTCTAAGTCCAGATTTAAACCATTCCTGCTCCTAGGTTCTTCCCAGCCAGGGACAGTCTTCTCTAAGATCTTCTTACTGCCCTAATGCCTGTGTTTTGTTTTGTTTTGTTTTTGAGAACCACTTTGGAAAGTCTTGAGTTAGGAGTTTCCCTTCATTCTTTTTCTCTACCATGTCTTTCTCCTCCACAGATCACTCTACCTGATTTCCATTGGCTGTCTTGTCTGCACCCACCTCTTCAAGTGTCTGGTCTGTAATCACTCTCTTCCTCACTTTCTAGACTACTTGCCTTTCTCACCAGCCAACTTCAAGACCAGGATATCTTGCTCTAGAAAACCAAGGAAGCACTTTGACAACCTATATGCAAAATGAAAATCATTATTGCTCATTTCCAATCATGCTGGATTCCTCAATTCCATATCTTCAAAAGTGGTCTTCACCCTACAGCTGGTTCGAAAGTTTAGAAAAGAGAAAAAAAGGAGGCAGGGTAGAAGGGAGGGAGAGTTAGGGAGAGACGGAGGGAGAAAAGGGGAAAGAAAGAGAGAGAAAGAGACAGACAGAGAGAGAGAGGGGAAGAAAATGTTTGAGTTCAACTTCGTACTTCTCCCTGCCTCTCCTTTCTCAAGCAACCATTGATGTAATTCCTGTCACTATAGATTAGTTTGAATTTTCCAAAGTTTTATGCAAATGGGATCATATATTTACTTTTTTGATTTCACTTCTTTCTTTCATCATAATTATTTTGAGTTTCACCCATGTTTAACGTATCAATAGTTTACTCCATTTTATGCTGAGTAGTATTCCATGGTATGGATATACCACAATTTGTTTATCCATTCACCCATTTAAGCTAAGCCCTTGGATTGTTTCCAGTTATTGGCTATTACAAATAAAGCTGATACAAAAATTTGTACACAAGAATTTGTATGGACACAATTGTTTTATTTTTTCTTTTGGATACATACTTAGGATTTGAGTGGTTGGATCATGGGGTTGGTATATCTTCAGTTTTTTAAGAAACTGCCAAAGTGTTTCAAAATAGTACTTTTCTATTACTGCTAACAGTGTATGAGAGTTTCATTTCTTCTGCATTCTAACCAACATTTGGTATGGCTAACATTTTTAGATTTTAGCAACTCTTATAACTGCAATGGTGTGTCATTATGGCCTTAATTAATATTTACTTAATCACTGATGTTGAGCTTCTTTTGCTTATTTGTCATCCTTATTGCTGCTTTGGCAAAGTATCTGCTTAAATATTTTGCTATTTTTAAATCAGATTTTCTTATTGTTGATTATTTAGAGCCCTTTATATACTCTGGATGGAAATTCTTTATCAAATATATGGTTTGCAGAGGTTGTCTCATGGTCTGTGACGCCTTTCTGTTCTCTTAAACATATTTTGCACAGAACAGGATTTAAAATTTTTTGATGAGGTTGCATTTATCAAATGCTTCTGTTGTCATATCTACAAAATATTTGTCTGACCCAAGGTCACAAAAATTTTCTACGTAAGGGACCCCACACATTTTTTCTTTAGTTTCCTTAATTTTTTGAGACAGGTCTGGGTTAAGTCACAAGATGAGGAAGAGTGGAAAGTCTTTCTGTTGGAGCCCAATTACCTCTCTTCTGCCCTCCTTCTCACCTATCTTCCCTCGCTGCCAGGAATTGGATCCAAGCCATAAAAGAGAGAGGCAATAGGTTCTCCAAATTTCTGAGTAAGAAAATGTACTGGATGATTAAACAGCAACCTTTAATCTGAAATCTCCTAAAACAGAAGTTGAGAACAATCCAAGTTTGGAAAAATAAATACTGGGAAACTTTGCTCCTGGGTAGCATAAATAGCTCAGCTGGGAGAGACTTAGACTGAAAATCTGAAGATCCCTAGTTCAACCCCAGGTTTTGGCAGGGTGGGTGCTTTGGTGAACTGAGGACAGGCGACTCTATTTGCCACCTTCAAACTCCATAATAATTACATCTTTGAATTTATGTTTTGTAACCGAGGTTCAATGGGATAGTGGAGCATGGTATGTGAACAAAGGAAATGAGCACAATGTGCATGTCTGTCTTTCCCTGCATCTCTTTCTTCACACAGCGATCGCAATGCTCCTTGGATTTTGATGTGTGAAATAAAGGTGAACAATAAAATTCATGCTGATAATTTACAATGTTAATTCTACTTAATTAGAATGATATTAAATAAGTAAATGAAAAATACATAATAGGTTGAGAAAGACCAACGAAGAAAGGAAAAAGCTTTA